GTACATTCCATGTTCCGATTTTCAATGGTTGTTTACAGCTCTTTTTCTTCATTTTGAGTTGTGGCCCATCAGCAAATGAAGGTTCTGTGCGCTTTTCTCCCCTGAGCTTAACTCTATTCATGTCATCATGGTCAACTCTACTTTGAGGAGGCATTTTTTTCCCCAGTTGCATTCTGAGTGCCTTCCTACCTTCCGGTCTTGTTTCTGACAATGTTTCTCTGCTATTCATAGAGTTTTCAGTGACTAGCAATTCAGAAGTAGTTTGTCACTTTTTCTTCCTAGTCTGTCTTTGTCTGGAAGCTCATCTGAAAGCTGTCCACCATGGGTGACCCTGCTGGTTATTTAAAATACCAGTGGCATAGCCCTCAAAATCACAGCAACTCAAGCCACCACAGCATGACAGACAGACGAGTAGTGGCTTCATTAGGAAAGAGTCATTTTGGTTTTGGACAGTATGGAACCTTTCTACTACAAGCAAAATACAAAAATATTGTTTGCTAGTACTTTGTGGGTAACCACCAAGCCTTTAGAATTCTGGTGTGGTGTTGTAGGATACACACTGGACTATTATGGGATAACCATAAGATTAGCTGGTCAAACCCACCAGTTGCTCCTTGGAAGTCCAAACAAGTTTGCTATGAATCAGAACTAACTTGATGACACTTAACAACTTAACAAAAATCAAGCCTTTGGATTTTTTTTGTTTGTTTGTTTCTTCAAGAAAGTGATTAACAAGCCCAAATGGCTTCCAAAGAAGTTGATAATGCAGAGGTGGGGGGAGCCTCTATAGCTGGTGCCCCAGGCCGTGAGATGGAACCAGGGGAGCTGAACAATTCTGACTACCATCCCATTGATGGATCACAAAATTTTATGCAAGGATTGTTACAAGCCCTTGGGGTAAGTTAACCTTTGTTTTTTTTTTTTTTTAAATGAATTAAGAAGGATGTTGTCATTTTTGTTGTTAAGTGCCCAGTCAATTCCGACCCATAGCAAACCTGTGTAGGGTTTCAGAGGAGCAGCTGGTGAGCTTGAAATACCGACCTTGCAGTTCCAATGGCTTTGCAGTCTGGCGCATTAACCCACAGCTCCACAATAAATATTATATGGAACACACTGTTTATGCCCATGAAAGGGACTTTCTGAGTTACTTCTCACTGAGTCAATGATGCTATCTATCCCTGTAAGAATAAACTGGAATGAATTTTGGGTTTAAAAGCATCAATGCAGAGTCAGCCTCTCATGGCAGAAAAACATCCTCTAAAGGAAACAGGAATATACTTCAAAGTCATTCATTCTTTCTTTGTGCCTTTGATCATTCAACATAGAGGCGAAACTTTACAAAATTCATATCCCATATTTTAAACTAAAAAATTGAGTTGAGGAAGAAAGCTTAGTATCATGCTGCTTACCCGCTGTCTGTGTTTGTCATATGATTAGCCCCCAGACATGCTGGGAAGACTCTAGGTATCTAATCAGACATATCTCTTTTACTCTTCTGCCTCTTTCTGAGAGTAGTTTGTGAGAGTACATAGTGATTTGGGGGAAAGCTTAAAATTTAGGGTGGCTGTTTGAATTTTGGAGAATAATATAAAATAAAACCTCCCTGGGGAATCTCTTGTTTAATTAATTTGACTTTGACTTTTTAACCATTTCAAGCAATGGCATTCCTTTCTGAGGAAAATGAAAATGGTCTTGTCTCAGTGTACATGTTAGCATATGATCCTCATGACTTTCTTTTTCTTCTTGTACTTACAGGCCATCCAGATTCTGAATGGAGCAATGATTCTGGCCCTGGGTGTGTTTCTGGGCTCCTTACAATACGTTACTCACCTCTTCAGACACATTTTTTTCTTTACCTTCTACACAGGCTATCCACTATGGGGCGCTGTGTTTGTGAGTATGCAGAGATCCCTGACCTTTGGTTATTTCTTACCTAGGTCTTCTAGAAATGTACTTGATTTTGAATGCTTTGTATTAAGGGGCTATTCACAGATTATTTGAAGGTTGCATGATGTTGGTTTGATTTGTAATTCTTGACACAAACATGTTTCTTAAAAAAAGTGTCTTTCTGATTTTAAAAACAAAACAACTCTATACCTCATAATTACTGAGTGCAAATTAACTTTCAAACATTACCTGAATTACATTATATTTAAGGAATGCTAATAAAGTTGAATTAAAAATGAGTATTGATAAATTGCTTTGCAGAACAGGCGAGTCCTGGCTTGGGCGAGAAGTAAATTGCTTTTTGACTATTTCTGGGAAATAAGACTATTGTGAAAAATCTTATCAAGGGAGGGCCAAGAAGAAAATGGTTGAAACTTAATATTCCTATATATGCTTCACTTTGTATTTTCAAACAGTTTATTGGCTCTGGGTCCTTGTCTATTGCAGCAGGAAGAAAAAACACAAGCATGTTGGTAAGTGGCAATTCTTTTTCTCTGACCATGGGAATTGAAATAAATAATGCATTAATTGTAAGGTTGGTGCATCCAACTCAGACACAGAATCTCTTTTAAAATACAAGAAATGCATTTTCTTTTCTTTAGGCATTCAGAGGATAAGTAGAGAATACATGAAAGCTATCAGAAAATCATCTGTGAATGCAAGCCTAAGGTGGATATGAAGTCCAGATAATCTTGATTTATCTGTGTTGTTCAGTTTGGCCAATTTAAATTATTTTGAGTGTGGGTTCTCCTAACATTAGTTCCACAAACTGAAAAGAAAAAAAAAAATCTGTTTATTTAGTTACTCATTAAATAACTATTCTGACAAGTCTCTACAATGTGTCAAGTATTATGCTCTTATTAATCATTTGGATATTTATACTCCACTTTCTTAATTCCTCTCTTATCCATAAATGTAACCAACCTGTGCTCTTCTGCAATTAATGCATAATTTATTTCAATTCCCATGGTCAGAGAAAAATTCACCCTTTACATTTTATCCTCAAACTAGAATTCCTTTTTCTCACATCTTTACTTTAAGCTGATAACATGGCTTCCTAGTCTAAGAGAGCTGAAGCCATAAGAAGAGAATTTTTCAGGCCCCCAACTACAAGATCTACTCAACTGACCAGATCTAATGCACCAGACTGCAAAGCTGTTTGAACTGCAAGGTTGGCTGTTCAAGCTCACCAGCTGCTCCTCAGAAACCCTATACAGGGTCGCTATGGGTGAGAAATGACTCGACAGCACTTAACAACAACAACAACATACTAATATATATTTTCAATCTAGCTATCCATCATAGACGAACTGTCTGTGATTTTCTCCATCTTTTTTCTTGAAACTTTTTATTGTGAATTGAGTGAAGGTTCACAGAGCAGGCCACCAGTTTTATATCCAACACATTATATATACACTTTGTTTTATCTCAATGATTACAATGCCTCCAATCTAACAACAGTTATTCCACTGACTCCCTGGGATTCTTAATTTCATTCCACCATCTTTGCCAACTTTTCTGAACTTTGTCATTGGGTAAATGTTATCCTTTTGATCTTGAATGGTTGACCATTCCATGGTGAACACATCTTACTAGCACTGTTGTCCTCAATTATGTACCTACCTATGTTGTTGTTGTTGCGAAGTGCCATCGGGTCAGTTCTGACCCATAGCGACCCTGTATAGGGTTTCCAAGGAGCAACTGTTGAGCTTGAACCACCGACATTGCAGTTCAAACGGCTTTGCTGTCTGACGCATTAATCCACAGTGCCGTTGAAAATGAGACCATCAGGGTGAGTTCTGCTCTTTCAGTTCTGAAGAGTGGTTAAGTGCCAGAATACAGTATTCCCAGTTTCTTTCTGACCCATAAGCCCTGTCTTTTAAAATAATTTTGAGTTTTGTTCCACATTTTCTCTCTCTCAATCTGTGACCTTCTAATATGATCCCTTTCAGAGTAGTTGGTGGTGGTAACCAGGCACCATCTAGTTCTTGTGGTCTCAGAATCATGGAGAATGATGTTCACATATTCCTTTGGTCCATTGAACTAAATCGAATACAAGCATCTTCAATTTTCATCACTCTTCTCTCTTTCACACATGGAGAGACAAATAGTTGTACCTTAGGTGGCTGCTCATGAGCTTTTAAGAATCCCAGTCCCTACTCATAAAAATAGGATGTAGAAAATATTGTCTTTGTGGACATATTATGCCAATTGACCATGGTGTTCCCTGAGACTATGGGGCTGAGACCCCAGGCCCAGAAACTCGTTGCTTCAAAAAGTTTTCATCATTTTGCCTCCTATAGCATAGTGGTTATGAGTTGGGCTACTCACCTCAAGGTGAGCAGCTCCAAACCAACATCTGTTCCATGGGAGAAAGATGAGGCTTTCTGCTCCCATAAAGATTTCCAACCTTGGAAACCAGAGTTGTAACCAACTCCACGGCACACAACCACAACCACCACCATGCCCCACCATCTTTGTAGGTATGTTTGCAGCAAAGGTAAATAAGCCTGTAAAACTATCCTCTGCCATACATGTATATATTTGTGGGTATACTCCCACTTTCCTTCCCATACCCGTTCATCCCATGTATCTGTCCATGTAACAACCTATAGAGCACTATTGTTGCAGGGTTATGTATCTAATAGTATTTACTTCTTTCCCTTTAACACTTGCTTTCCTTTCTGTGTTTTCACCTGCCTCCATCATTCTCTGCTAAACCTCTATCTTGTTGTATATTGTCTTTCCCATTACCTGAGCTACCCTGTGTCTACCATCTAACCAGATTCTCCCTTCCTTCCTGCCCCAAGGAGCTCTGGTAGCGTAGTGGTTACGAGTCAGGCTGCTAACCTCAAGGTCAGCAATTTGAAACTATCAGTGATTCTGTGGGAGAAAGATGAGGCTTTCTGCTCTTGTAAAGATTTATAACCTCAGAAACCTAGTAGTTATCAAAGAATGTTTTTTTAGCATGAAAACCTTTTCTTTGTTTTTTACAATAGTGTTCTCATACAATATTTGTACTTTTGTGATTGACTAATTTCACAGGACCAGGCAGTATTTCATTCTATTGTGCATAGGGTTGCTATGAGTTGGTACTGACTTGATGACATCTAACTACAATTTTACTCCATATGATAAGCACTCGACTGTGAAGTACAAGGTCTGCAGTTTGAGTCCACCAGTCACTCTGCCGGAGAAAGATGAGGCTTTCTGCTCTCATGAAGATTTAAAACCTCAGAAACCCTCTACAGGGTAGCTATGAGTCGGAACTGAATCAATGGCACTTAACAACAACAACAGTTTCACTCAGCATAGTGTCCTTAGGTTCATCCATGCTTTGAGGTGTTTAGAAGATAATTCATTATTCTTCAGCCATCCATAGTATTCCATTGTATGTATGTATCAAAATTTGTTTACCCATTCTTCCATTGAAGGCCATTACAGACTGTCTTCCTCTGTTTGCTTTTGTGAACAGTGCTACAATGACATGGATGTGCACAGATCTACTCAAGTAATGGTTCTTATTTCTTGGGGATATGTACTAAGTAAACAAATTGCTGGGCCATATGGTGTTGCTATTTACAATTTTTTATGACATATACTATTTTACAGTGGTTGCACCAATTTATAGTCCCACCAACAATGCAGGAGTGTTCCAGTGTCTCTACATCTTTGCCAACATTTGTTGTTTTCTGTTTTTTGAACTTTGGTATTGTTGTTTTGATTCATATCTCTCAAATATATTCCTTTATCATACTTAATAAATTTGTATGTGAGCAAATAATCCAAGAAGCTGGATTATATGAAGAAGAATGTGGCATCAGGATTGGAGGAAGACTCATTAACAACCTGTGATCTGAAGGTCATACAGCCTTACTTGTAAAAGCAAAGAGGACTTAAAATACTGATGAAGATCAAAAGACCACAGACTTCAGTATGATTTGCACCACACTGAAAATGAAACAAAAATCCTCAAGATTGGGCCAATCAATAACATCATGATAAATGGTGAAAAGATTGAAGTTATCCAAGACTTCATTTTGTTTAGATCCATCATCAACATTCATGGAAGCCACAGTCAAGAAATCAAACAACTCATTGCATTAGGCAAATCTGCAGCACCAGAGTTCTTTAAAGGTTTCAAGAGAAAAGACATCAGTTTGAGGACTAAGGTGTACCTGATCCAAGCCATGGTATTTTCAATAGCCTCAAATACATGTGAAACTTGGACAATGAATAAGGAAGACAGTAGAAGAATTGATCCTACGGTATCAGTTGGAACTATGGTGTTGGAGAAGAATATTAAATGTACCGTGAACTGCTATAAGAACAAACAAATCTGTATTGGAAGAAGTACAGCTAGAATGATCCTTAAACCAAGATGGCTAGACTTCCTCTCTCATACTTCAGGCATATTATCAGGAGGGATCTGTCCCTGGAGAAGGATATCATGCTTGGTAAAGTGGAAGGTCAGTGAAATAGAAGGAGATCCCCAACAAGGTGGATTGTCACAGTGGCAGCAGTAGTGGGTTCAAACGTAGCAGAAATGGCACAGGACCAGGTCGTGTTTCATTCTGTTGTGTATAGGGTGCCTATGGATTGGAACCAACTCGACAACAACAACAATGGCTAATGGTCATGAACATTTTCTCATATCTTTGTTGACTGCCTGAATGTCTTTAGTGAAGCTTCTGTTCATGTCCTCTGCCCATTAAAAAAATTGGATTTATCTTCCTAAAGATGTTGCGGTGGTAGTAGTGGTTATGTGCAGTGGAATCGGTTCCAACTCATAGGAACCCTGTATAGGTTTTCCGAGGCTGTACATTTTCACAGGAGCAGAAAGCATCATCTTTCTTCTACAGAAAAGCTGGTAGTTTTGGACTGCTGACCTTGAGTTTAGCTCAATTTGTAACCTCTCTGTAAATTTCCAGAGTGGCTTAGTTTTCTACATATTTTAGTGATTAATCCCTTGATTAGTCATTGCACAAAAATAGTTCCCATTCTGTGGATTCTTTTTCTATTTTTGACAAAATCTTTTGTTGTACATAATTGTCTAATTTTAGGAGGTCTCAGTTATCTATTTTGTCATCAGTTATTTGTGTGTTTTTAATTATGTTTCATTGTTTATTTATGCCATGTATCAGTACCCCTAAGTGTGTCCTTATTTTGTTATTAATGATCTTTATTTTATACTTGTGGGTTGTACATTTAGGTCTTTATTCCATGTTGAGTTTGTTTTTGTATATGGTGTGAGATATGGGTCTTGCTTCACTTTTCTGAAAATGGATTTCCAGTTTTGCTGGCACCATTTGTTAAAGAGAATTTCTCTTCCTCATTTAAAGTGTCTTAACCCTTTGTCAAAGATCAGTTCACTGCATGTGGTTGTATTTACTTCTGGTTTCTCAATTCTGTTTCTTTAATATCTGTGTCTTTTACTGTACCACTACCAGGCTATTTTGACCAATGTGGCTGT